TGGGTTACGGCCCTCGTTTGTGGAGATACGGGGCCCCTTCTTTTGAGCTACGGGGACGCTCGTGTCCAGGTGGGCTGAAGGGAGCCTCCAATTCTTACTCATCTGTACGTACACTTAATCTGTATTTCTCTTTTTTTTTTTTGGTGCCTATTTTTTTGTGCATTTTATTGCCTGGCATTTCGGTCTAAAATCCTTTGCTTACGTGAGGTTGCGCGTACTGAAGCTATACATGGTGCATCTAAACAAGTAGGTAAAACTTTAAGGGCTAATAGAATGCAGCTATATGAGCAATATTCGTCATAGAATGTAAGGTCGGAACGCAAGCCGTGAGTACTTAAAGGGTAATTTTCCACTGTCAGTTAAAGGGTAATTTTCCACTCTCACATTTACAGAATTAGTGCAAGAATGAGAGGTGATGCTTCAGAAAACATTTTGTTAACAGAACATGCTCATAGAATTTCCTCAAAAGACCTTCCGCCAGCTTTAATGCAGGCTCCACCCCTGCGCAATAGTACCGACGCACATTTGCCAGGAAACCATGCATTTCTAGAAAATCGCCGGCACCAACGGCGACCTGACGATTAGAGCCATATTCGTTTCAAAGGAGCACTCGTAGGCTTTTCGTATGGCCCCACAGGAAAAAGTCCAAACACGAGAGATCCGGTGATCTTGGTGGCCAATCTGTAGGACCACCTCGGTCAATCCATTGCCCTGCAAATTTCGTAGGCTCGTATAACCAGCCATCTTCTCGACAATCCTCGGTAGAAAATGCCGTTGGGTGCGAGGATCGACCCTTTTTATACCACTTACAATACCGCCTAGCGGCTCGCCGTTTGCATTCCGACCATATATTCTATGACGAATATTGTTGATATCAACCCCTAAAGTTCCAAGCGTAGAAAGGGTCTGAAGAGGAGGTCTGAGAGAAGCTACAAGTCTTTCTAAAGCATCCCAAACATGCTCTATAGGATACAGGTCCGGTGATTGAGCTGACCACTCCATCTGCTGAAGATAATCATCCACGATGCGAGCCCTGTATGGTGTGGTGTTGTCGTTCTGCAGCAGGAAATCATCACCTATTACCCTGGCACAAGTTCGCCCATAAGTATCATGGGTGTCATCTGTATAGGTCTGAGCATTCACGGTTCCACGTGGAAAGACGTGGAGGTCTGTGCTTCCACCCAAAGAGGTACCACCCCAAACATAGACACTGACTGTATGCATCTCTATCACGGATGTTTAATGGATGATAACGGATTTCAGGTTCTCTCCAAATCGAGAAACTCCTACTACTGCTTTGCAGACTAAACCAGGACTCATCTGTAAAGAGAACAGCCCTCCATTCATCAGCTGTCCAGTTGACATGCTTACTTCAGACGTTCTCTGTTATAGTGTGATGTGAGTGGCATACAAATAGCGAACCACCTCGCATATAGATGTCCTTCGTGAAGCCTTCTACGCACAGTTGACGTTGACACCAACCTTCTGGCGGCTGCAGCAAGGGAGGATCTGAGTTGAGTCGAAGTTGAGATTCTATTCCTTCGTGCGCATAACAAGAAATATCGGTCATCCGCGCTTGTCGTAGCGGTTGGCCAACCTATGCTGAATCTCCTGGATGCCGAATCTGTGGTTAGAAATTGCTAAAGTCTATGAACCACAGAAGGATTGCAATTAGCTGCACCAAAAGTATATAAATATATCTATATACCCACTCTGTTACTCGGCTCCGTGAGCTCAGTTATTTTAATCCTTATATGTTTTTAAACTGGGCATTTTTTGTTTTAAAAATGATTGAATTATGTAGTTCTTATCTTCCGGGTAAGGTTTTTATGCCTTTAGTTAATCTGCACATTATAGTTGTAGAATTATCAACAATTTAAAAGTTGTTCAAGTGCGGCTAAGCCTACTTTTTTACCATAGCAGCCATATTTGTTTACATTTGAAACTTAGCAGAAAAGTGGATTTGTTGCCAGTCTGGAGAAATTAAGCTTCGCAAAAACAAAGTAACGTCTTCTTTTATTATTGCGAATTAAATTATGTTCAATCCATTCTGGAATATCATTTAAGTTATTAAATTATCCCATCTATTGCATAGCGTCCACGGCAAATTAAGTCTGTTTCTACGCCTTCAGTGTCTTTTTGCCGAGTGAGATCAAAAATAAACTTTCAGTTTTGTGCCCGGAAAATCTGCCCTCTTGTTTTCTGGTCGAATGGCTTGGTTTTGCGTAGAAACTGTAATTTTAATTGTAAAAATTGTCTTTTAAATTTGTTTTAACTGTAATTGGTGTTTTATGCTTTTCTATATCTTTCAGTTTTCGATATAGATATTTGAGCTTTTGTGTATTTTTGTACCGTCGCGAAGTTAGAACCGAATTAATTTTATGAGAAATATATCTCTAATGAAATTCGAGGAAATAAGTTTAAATGAAATGCAGGAAAAATGCGCCTAATTTAATATTCCGTATAAGGAAGTCACGTGGTGTACACGCCAGATTTTTTTTATTTTGTCATAACGAGTATAAAACTTTCTCAAATATAAGTACAGGTAACGTTGACAACATTAAACGTTAGATTTCGTTTTTTGTCCAAAATTAATTTTTTTTTTAAATTTTGAAATTGTTTAAACATGAATTTTTTTCTTTATTCAAAATACTTCTGCAACTGGAAGTATATTTTAAACCACGTAAGGAGGTTGGAGATATATATACTTTTGGTATTGCTGACTGCGATATAAAAAGAGGGAGGTGCACAACCAGATGCAATAGCAGTCCCATATGCAAAATTTAAACTTTTTCGGGTGACCCTTTTTTTAGTTATGCGAGATACGTACGTATATACAGACGTCATGATAAAATTTCGTTTTGGAAAAAAAGAGTTTTTTATTGAGTCCAGACGTCTCGGAAGATATTAGTCAAATAGATTCAGGCCGGTCAAAATGGATATTTCTCTTGAAAAATGATAACCAAAATTTTTCCTGGTTACAATACTTTCTTTACTCCGCACAAGGTAGTAGAAAAGGCGAAACGCGCGAGTAAATACTATCTTTTTTATTTATTTATTTTTTTCTGTATTTTTTTTAAATTCTTAAAACATCTGTTTCCTGTTTATTTAAATCGTTTACTTTTGTCTACTTCTAACAGGAGGCACCTGACGCAGCTGAAGGCAATATTGACCAATATTTGGATAACTTCTGCTCTTGGCAATCTCTTAAGAATCCTCCTGTTTCCTCTGAGCTACACTGGGACCACGCCATCATGTTAACCGGGTATGGAGGACTACGTTATTCAAAATTCGATGTGTTTATGTACCGCTGTTTCAGCATAGTGAGAGAAAGATACATACATTTTTGCAGATTCTTTATTATTGAATTTTTTAAAATAAATATAATATAGGGCTCTAATATTTGGTGTCAACAATTTGAAAAGTGAACCGACATTTAAAGTTTTCAACGCAAAATGCTAAAAACGAAATTAATAGCCCTTCTGGGCTAACGCCTTTTGAGCTAATAAAAAGCATTAAATGAGCTTATTTATTTATTTCCCTGTCAGATTCAGACTGGAAATTCATTTGACAGAAATGTTAATCTTAAAGCTATCTCTTTAGCCTTTCTGGCTATAATTTGATGACAATCTAATAAGCTAATATAATAATAAAAATGCTGTAAATATACATTTTAATTTATTTTTTATAATATGTAACTTTTCATTTATTTTTTTATATTACCAGTATTATATACCAGTATTTTATATTACCAGAACTACTCAGCGACTTTACCGTTCAGTGCCCGAACGGTAAAGTCGCTGAATACTGAAAGTTCGGTCCGAGGTTCGAATCCCGCGAACGGGCTGACTGCATGAGCATTTTCGCGATTTTTCATATGTGTAACGTGTATACATGCCAATTTCCCTTTGAAATTCCTCCATGAAAGCATCCTTTGTCGTGATTATATGAACTGTCTTTTATAAACAAGTGCGGATGTAAACTTTGTGATACATACGTGTTTTCTTCTGTTTTTATTTACTTGCTTACAACTGAAAATACGTGTGATTGTTTCTACGATCTTTAACCCTTTGCGGTACAGTGTGTTCGGTCTGGACACACCTAAAAATTTCCTTCTCTATGCACAGAAAAATTGAATGAAAAAGGATTTATAAGTTACTCTGAACCTTCTTTATTTATAGTAGATGGCAGCTCAACACAAACCAGTCCATATATTTTAGCCATGTTTAGATTTTTAAGACCCTCATTTTTCAAAGAAAAAATTGGAGAATGTCGACTTTCACCGGAGAATGTCAACATTCACCAAATGCGTCGGTGAAAGATCGAATATTGCATTATATTCTTGTACATTCGGACCCTCAACCGGTGTATGTCGGCAATCACAGATATGCTCTGGTTAGGTCGAAAAGAGAGGAGTCGACAATTCAAAGTGTCATAATAGTTTAAGTTGTTGCGATAAATAAGATTTGAATCACGTAATTTAGTAAGTTTTTTATTACTATTTATTTTCTCATTTACAACGTACTGTATAATTAAGTTTTTTTTAACATCTATTTTTATTTTTTTCTCATATTGAATGTACTGTATGTTTTAAGTTTTTATATTCTTAAGTTCTTATTTTAAGTTTCAAGTGCTTTTTTTGGCGACTGAATGACGGAGAAGAAAATATAATATTGTTATATGTTCAACATTCACCATTAGTACATGGCGAATGTCGACATTTACCGGTGTAAGTCAGAAATAAGAGTATTTGGAAAATATTTCGGACATACACTAAGCGACTATGTGAATGTTGACATTCACCGGTGAAAGTCGACATTCTCCAGATTTCGGTGTTTCACCGTAACATATGTATAACGTACTAACTGTATGTTTTATGTACACTATGCAAAAAGAAAGAATGGGACAGTTCTATATCTCCCGTTGTACTGGGTCGATTGAAGAAATCACATTGCGTTCTTCATCATGCCTCGAAAGCGGGACTTAGGATATATATTAGCTTTATATTTAGCGTTGTTCTAATGTAGGTATTTTGACACAAAATCGGACGTTCCTGAAATGACATGACGATTTTTTTCCATATTTTGTTTCAAAAATGCCTAAATATTAAATTTTGGAAAATATGGTGCGAAATTTACGGAGAAATTCAAAAATTTTCTTGGCCCACTTTTTTCAGTTTGCGCCAAGAATAATTTACTTGGCGAACTTCTTAATTTATAGCAACCTATTTTACTTTGCCCAATTTTTTTTTTCTGCACGAGACGAAAAAATGTGCTTTGTGCATATTTTCAAATAATTTAAACAAAGTGTGTAAGCCACATTTGGCGTTATTATAGCTTATAACAAATATGTCAAATTTCAAGACGCGCCAGTATATTAATATATGTATATATTTGGAAATTTTGCATAAAAAAACGAATTTTTTGCAGGTATGTTTAAAAATACATCTACTTTAAGATGATGGTATAAAAATTTTTATCGGTTATAATTCAAAATGGTTTTCGAAAAATTTATAAAAATTTAAAAATAGAAATTTAAAAATTAAATTATAAAAAAACGGCGAATTTTATTTGGAATGAACCTAAATTTCGAAATGTGAAAGGAAGAATGAAATAAATTTAAGAAAAAAGGAAGTATTGATAAATATTGTTACGTTATTTTTTTCCTTCACGTTCGTACGGGGTTTGTGTGGATTTGGAGTGAATAACGACGACAGCACTTGATGGAATATTGAAACACACTTCATTTACCATTATTAATCACGACAGCTCCAAAACACTTTTACAGTCGTCGAAGATCTACAATAAATACGCTGGAACAATCAGCGACACAGCCTTCATACTGTCAGGCAATGACGGTGAAGACAGCTTTACTGCAAAGCACTAGAGTTCAGCTCCCGACTCTGCTCGGTCGTTCTCGGAACTCTACGTACTCTCGAGACTCTCCAAGTTACAACTCGCGATGTACACGACGACACACAGAGCACAGCTCCCGACTCCTCGGTTCAGTCGTTCCCGGAGCTCAACACACTCTCTCGACGATGTACTAACCGCGATACACTAAGGGACTCTTCGATGCACTCAACGACCAACTCAGCGCTAGACTTCGAGACACTCGCTCAATGACTATCAGCTCGCTAGACGAGGCACACTAACCGAGTGTGGACCAGCAGGGCTTGTATATCTTTCGGCTTGTGTTCGAGAACATTCTGTGCTAAACCGGTAAGAATTCGTTCCAGATGGTTCTCCATCCGTTCATGGCATATCGCAAATTTTGTCGCCAAATGTGGCAACCCTGCACCCCCTTGTAATTTTATGGCAACTCTAAAACTGCTTTACGGGGAAGCTATCTTACCATACCTGTACATTTCGTAAAACTATATACCAAATTCAATTAACATGGAGGAGCTAAAATTTTGAAAGCTAATTTTTTAAAAACTACTCGTGCGATTTTTACAAAACTTCGCAGTTTGGCATAATTTGAATCTTGCAAGTAGTCCTCCTCTCCTTTGATACCAGTTCATCAGAAACCCATATATTTTCTGTAAGTTTGTGTCACAAGTAGAAAAACTTTGAAGTCTTAGGGGCAGAGGGACAACCATTTAGGAGCTATAGGACCCTCAAAGTGTTTCAAAGAGTTTCAATGCCATCGAACCATGGCAACCAGAGGAAGAATAGTTGTTCGTTGGATCAGTCTCTGCAACGGAGCACAGCTTAATGATTACGCATATGATTTCAATGGAAGGCGAAATGCTGCAACCAACGTGTGTGCTTGTATTCGAACTACCTGGAATATTTTCCGCAGTCAAAGCCGCCATATCCTCTAAATATAAGATCGTGTGCTGGAAAAACAGCGAACATGTCGAAAGCAGACTTCAAACGGTTCTGTCGTGACGTAATTTTGGCCAAGTATGCCGCCTGATGAGAGGAAGAAAATTCTGCTTTTAGTGGATTCATGGTGTTCTAACAAAGATCGTGAATTGTATACTTAGGAAATACTTGATAGTAAAGTTAAACAAATGAAGTGGTGTCTGAAGGATGCACGGAGAGATCCAGCCTCTGAATATTCATTTTTTCGGACACTGCAAATCTTTTATTCGTTACATAAAGGACACAACCATTATCGAGAAACAAGAGCACATTTGGCATCGCGATGGTTTTCTGGCCCTGCAGTCCTTTTCTATATGAGTTCAGCGCTCCTCCTTTCAAGACTTAAAAAGTCCTCCACGAAGGCATCCCTCCCTTAAGGCCCTCGAGGGCTTTGCCGTAATCTAATAAACCAAACCAAACCAAATCAAACCAAACCTCCTTTCAAGAAAATGATTCAGTAAGATCCCGCTTAACGCTGTTTCGTTCAGCACTGTTTCGGTTTAGCGCTCTTTTATTTCAACCCGAGGATTCCCCGAAATTGATCGCAGCACTAAGGGGGTTCCCCGAAGTTGATCGCAGCACTACAGGGATTCCCCGAAATTGATCGCAGCGCTACGGGGATTTCCCGAAATTGATCGCAGCACTACGGGGATTTCCAAATAACATATCCAAAACACTGTAGTTGTGTTTCTTGTTTGGTGCGGTGCTGTAAGGACGCATTTTTATCATTTGAAACATTTGTTGACATTATTGTAAGTATAAATTTATATAATACTATAACGAATAATACAGTGATAAATATTATGATCTTTAGTTTTTAACATGGATGATAATAAAAAAAAAGGAAAAGAAAGCAACCAAAAAAAGCATTTCACTGGAAACTATAATGCAAGTGATTAGAAGATTAGATTCTGGTGAACGTCAATCTCAAATTAGTGCTGCATTGAATTTGGCAGCTTCAACAATAAGGACAATTCTTACGAATAAAGAAAAAATACTGTCATCGGCAACTGCAACTACGTCAAGCTCTGCAACTAGAATTACCCGTTCTAGAAACAACAGTACAGAGGAAATGGGAAAACGACTGTATATATGGATTGACGACGAAATTGAACGCGATATGCCTAAGCCAATCTAATCAATTCCAATTTTTTGCCTTCTTAACAAAATGGCAGAAAATTGGAAACACAGAATAGACTGAATGATCTGACTGACTGAGAATTTTATTTGTTTTTATAAGTATATTCGTTTATATATTTTTTATTTTTGTAAGAAATAAATGTCTGGTTTTATTTTTATTAAAAAATATTAAATTTAATATCTAACCAAGTTTCTTATCCATCTTCCGATGGATTACTGCTTCGATTCATTGACAAATGATGCTTATGCAAAGTGTGAGGCTATCGCTTTTGTAAAATGTGCCCATTATTAACTGTCTTTCTGCCCGTCTCACTGTTTTTTTTTTTTGGGGGGGGGACGATTTGCACATTGATTGTCTCTTGTAATAGATTTTGTTTGAAGTCAACAAGAGGTCATATTTTCAACATTCCAACGTATATTGTTTCTTTTTAACCAGTTGTTTCTTCTTTTATATTGAGATTCTTTATATTACCTTCTTACTATGTTATTACTTCATATAAATACGTGAAACGAGTATTTTAGCGACTTTTGGTGTCCTGTTTCCAACACTTCACTGATACTTTCTGGGTCCTATAGATTCTGAACTCTTGTCCCTCTGCCCCTAGGGTTTCAAAGACTTTCTATGCGTGACAGAAGATTTCAGAAAATATACGGGTTTCCAGCAAACCGATATCGAAGAAAGAAGGTTTGCTTGTTAGAATCGAAATATGGAACACAATTGGGCATGACATTTCAAAAAAGTCCGATTTTGTATCAAAATACCTATATTAGAACAACTTAGGAACTAGAACTTAGGATATACATTAGATTTATAACTATATATAAATCTAATATATATCCTAAGTTGCGGTTTCGAGGCCTCAAAAACGCAAGTTGAATTTCGCCAGTCGGCTGAATAGAGCGGGAGATATACTTTCCCATTTTGTTCCCGCAGTGTACGGTATATGTTGAACGAAGCATAAAGTGTATTTCTAATTGTACTATGATCAATTGTATTGTACAGGGCAAATGTAAAACATTAGCCCCTGTATGGCCATGTCATTCTACTTCCATTTTTTTTTTTTTTTTTTTTTTTTTTTTTTTGCAATAAACTTCGCTCATGGAGCGTGGGGAGGATGGTGCCCTAGACAATTCCGGGTGCCCTCGAATAGTATGTGAAAGCCGCCCGGGTGTCCGGATATTCTGCTCTGAACATACTCAAAATTTCATCTTGTTATAAGGATTGATTAGAATAGCAATGCGTCTCCTAACTCTTCCTAATGCATGCAGTTTTATTTCAGATTTGATCTCCACAAAGTGTCTCTGAAAAATGAAAAGAATGCAAAGGTATTGGGTAAGTGTGTTTTCTTATTGTCGACGCCAAATTAAAATAACTAGAGATCAGGTACTTTTATTAAATGCGTAAAAATGGATCGATTTAATGAATTTTACTATTTGTATGATGTAAATGAAGTGCTGTAATTGCGAAAAATTTCGAATATCATATTTTAACGGAAATTCCCATTTTGATCGTTTCCGAAACCATTTTCACTATATTTGTTTTGGAAGGGAGGTGACATCTGTACGTACCTATGTGCAGAATAAAGGAAGTTTTTTGACAAAACGGATTGCAACGTGGATTTAAATAGTATTTTTTCGTGACATCTCTAGTCACGTATACGTATGTATGTATCTCCCATAATTCGAAAACAAATAGCCGTAGAACGTTGAACTTTTGTATATGGGACTGCTGTTGCATGTTGTTAAGCACCTCCCTTGTTTATTGCAATCCACTTTAACCACCCTTAAAGTATACCACCTGTATATCCGGTTTAAAAGTCTTATTCGACTTTTATTAACGCAGGCGTTGATTGTAATGATATACTTTTAATCACGAAAGTGTTTTAAATGACGAAAACATTCTTGTTTTGCAACAGCAGATTAAAAAAAAAATTTTTGGACAAATAACGAAATCGATCTTTTAATGAGGTCTCTCATTTCCTGTATTTATACCTAGGAATGTTTTATGCTCGTTATAAAAAATATAATTATAAGAAGTTTGACTCCGGTACGACAAGAATTGACTGGCATATTTAATTTAAAAAAAAATTCAAATTTTTGATGTCATTTTCGACTTGCCTCCAGGAATCGGTTAACCAAGTCAGAATAATTCTAGGAAACAAGTTAAAATAAAGTGCAGCAAAATATGTGTATAATTTAATAGGCCCTACATATAAGTCATGTGCTGTCAGTCCATATCAGACTTTTTTTTATGAAAAAGAAATAGTTTTATTCATTTATTTATTTTACGAATCCCAAACAGCTTAATAGGTTAAAGCCATTAGTTCGCGAGCTCTCCAGTACGTTTTAACAATGTCCTGATACCGGGAATGTGCAATAAAATTATTTAAATGTTCAACAAATCATAGGCTGTTTGCAGTCGCACAAAACGCAGTTTGAGGAATCCACCACTCCAATTCTGGAGAGGTGGTCTCGAAAACAGTCATGTCCAGTCAGTTTGAAAGACCGATTGTGGCTAAAAAAAATCACAGTTTTTTACTTCCTTGTACGAAGTAAAAAAGCAGTATTGTAATCGCGAAAAGTTTCAGGCATCATATTTCAACGAAAATATCCATTTTCACCGCTATCGATTGCAATTGAACGATGTTTTTGCGTGTCTTCTGTACGTAAGGACAGAATAAAAGACTCTTTTCCCACCAAAAAAATTATAAAACTGATTTAAAATGAATTCTGAAGAGAATTTTTCGTGGCGTCTGTACGTACATATCTCGCATAACTCAAAAACGAGTAGCCTCAGAACGTTGAAATTTTGTATATAGGACTGCTATAACATGTAGATGTGCACCTCGTATTTTGGTTGCAATCGGCCGCACCAAACATATATAAATATATATCCACTCTGTTACCCGGTTCAGTGATCTCAGTTTCTTTACTCTTATATGTTTGTAAATGGTACATTTTTTGCTTTAAAAATAATTGAATTATGTTGTTTTTATCTTCTGGTTAAGGTTTTATGCCTTTAATAAATCTGTATGGAATATTTTTAGAATTATTAACAATTTTAAAGTTGTTTAACTGCCGCTAAGCCTAATAATTTTTTTGATGGCGGCCATTGCTTGTTTACATTTGAAACAGCAGAGTAGTGGATTAGTTGCCAATCTAGAGAAACTTAGCTTCGCAACAACAAAGATAACGCCTTCATTTATTATTGCCAATTAAATCATGCTTAAGCCTTTCTGGAATGTTTTCGACGAAATAAGTGTTTAAGATTTACTTCCTAATTTTTAATACAGATATTTTGACATTTTATGTATTTTTGCCTTGTCGCGAAGTGAGAGCTGAACTAATTGAATGAGAAGTACTCAATCGTATGTGAAAAACTGTTTCTTTTTTGTTTTGTTTGCTTAATTTCTTTAAATACATCGTTCTAGCTTTATTATAGTATTTGAATAGAACATGTGCCAACGATTAGATACTTCTTTAAATGATATAAATTTTGTGCATTCTGAGTTATAAGAGGAACGAAATATAATACTGTTAAGTGAGCCTAGCGCCAGAGTGTAGCTATGGTAAATAAATAGAGTGAATTTTAAAGAATGCATTTATTGTATTGTGTTTTATGCGCTGTCGTCGAAGTAGATTTAATTTAATCCAATAAGTTTAAATGAAATGCAAGAAAAAATGCGTATAATTTAATATTCCGTACAAGGAAGTCATGTGGTGTACACATCAGATTTTTCATTTTGTATATGCACCTCTGTGCGATGATGCTGTTTGTAAATCATGCATCTTATTTTTGAAATGTTAATGTGGTTGAGTTATGAATATACTTGTCAAAACTCTTAGAAGTTGTATACCAGCAATAAAGTGATGATAGATGCCTGGTACCTAAAAAATTTTAAGCAATTTTTGATGATTTTTTTTTCCGCGTTTACAGCAACTATGATAACTCTAAAAGTCCCTCACAAAATGACTTAAAATTTTTCATAAAGAGTTTGTATATTATTTCGCATGAAGACTAAAAATTAAAAAATTAGCCTTACAGAATTTAAGTTATAGCACTTTTAATAGCATATGCATTTTAAAATGTTTTTGTGTTAACTAACATATTTAATCATACATTACTAACAAATCAATATTTTTCAATTATTGTAGTTTACTGTATGCTTATGGTTAATGTAGATGAAATGAAGTCAAATTTATGTTTTTATTTTCGTTGTATTCGTGTCAGTGGTAGTTGTTTTTGTTAATTTTGATAAAAAATTTTCATATTTTGCATAAATTTCTCAAAATAATGATTTTTTAATCACTTTTGTGGCGATTATATGTAAGTGCGAGGGCAGTAATTTTAATAAAAAGTTTCATATTTTGCATAAATTTCTCAAAATAATGATTTTTTAATCACTTTTGTGGCGATTATACGTAAGTGCGAGGGCAGTAATTTTAATAAAAAAGTTTCATATTTTGCATAAATTTCTCAAAATAATGATTTTTTAATCACTTTTGTGGCGATTATACGTAAGTGCGAGGGCAGTAATTTTAATAAAAAAGTTTCATATTTTGCATAAATTTCTCAAAATAATGATTTTTTAAATCACTTTTGTGGCGATTATATGTAAGTGCGAGGGCAGTATTTTAATAAAAAAGTTTCATATTTTGCATAAATTTCTCAAAATAATGATTTTTTAATCACTTTTGTGGCGATTATATGTAAGTGCGAGGGCAGTAATTTTGATAAAAAGTTTTCATATTTTGCATAAATTTCTCAAAATAATGATTTTTTAATCACTTTTGTGGCAATTATATTTAAGTGCGAGTGCAGTTAAAAAAAATCTCATAAATTCAGTACTAAAACAAACATTTTGAAAAATGCCCTTCGGATGAGGTCGGTTTCATAAAGAGTCAGGTTAACAAACAGTTTAGTCGTATGAAAATGTCGATTAATGCGTTGCATTCTCAAAGTTTCTTTCTTAGCCCTAATGTATTAGCAGTTTCGCTGCCTATTATTTCACAGTGGGCTGGAATCCATTGGAAAGAAATTCTGGGTGTCATTGCCTTAACCAGTTAACTGTGGCGCCCTCGTTTAAGAGTCCGCACCTTTTTGTGTGACCACAATCGAGCCATGACGAGTATTTTCGTCCATCACAGAATAAGTTGCGCTGGTGAGATATTGTATGAAAAGATGGGTTTATTTTATAAAATTGAAAATTTTATGCTAATATTGACTTACTTGGTTAACATAAGCATACATTACATATATATTTAACTAAAAACGCAATCAATTAAATTAATATTATGCATATAAAAATAAGAATTTAAATATCGGCTGTGGAGTGATATTCAGCGAAACAGGGTACTTACTATACACAATGGGACTTTGCAAATCAAACACCAGTAACGCGATTCCTTCCCGATTTTACGTTTGTAGCAATGCGAACACCTTCGCGTAGGGTTTTTTTTCGATGTTCCGAGTATATAATCCGGAACATGATTCCCGCCTAATTGGCTTATATTAGGTCTAAACGGCCGAGTTTGTGACGATTTCTTTCTTTCAATTGGATGCGTCGCAAAAGTGTCTTCAATAAATTGGAGCAAAAAGTTGATACGCGATTATGTTTCATTATATTTTTTATATAATATGAATGCATTTAGACACATGATATCTAAGAAATGGAGAAATATCTTTTTGTAGTACTTTTTGAGTCGTTTTTTTGCTGTGGAGTACGCTATGATAAGTCCTATCGCTCATATCCACTCTACCCATTTTTTTGATTATAATCAATCACTAGCTCCGGTTTCTTTGTTATTATTTTTCTTTTCTCTGTTTATATTATGTTGTCATTATATACAGTACTTACTAAATAAACCTCCCTCCTTTCTTTCTATTTCATTATACGCATGACGAGTATACTCGTCAATACACAAATCGTGCCGCTTCTTCATGACGAGTATACTCGTCAATACACAAATCGTGCCGCTTCTTCATGACGAGTATACTCGTCAATCACAGTTAACTGGTTAAGCAAAGGCCTACAGTCTAAGATTCTTTGCGAACTATTTTGATTATTCAGAAGGTTTGAAGCGCACTGACAATGAATAGCCACAGCAGATTTTCGATTTCCCCATCAAAGGTAGTATAGAAGATTATTGTAAGAAATGAACCCTCGAGTAAGAGAACTGGTAAGCAGAAACTGAAAACCTCTCTATGAGTATCTGCTCCAATACCGCACGCTCTCTAACACAGAGCCGTCCGTGTAGATATGCAACCACTCACTTCGACGATAGCGAACCCCAATAGTCTCCATCACACTAGATGGATGAATGTCATGGGCTTGTGTTGACAATTGTCAGTTTTGTTGACCATTGTCAGTTGTGTTGATCATTCTCAGACAAATGAGACTGCTAACAACAAAGTCCTTACGTAGTCCATAAAAGTCCTTACGTAGTCCTAAAAGTCCTTACGTAGTCCATAAAAGTCCTTACGTAGCTCTTATTCTCATAACCGCTATAGACGAATAGTTCCAGTTATAAAAATGTTTGAACTTTATTAATATTCTTTTGGCATAAAAAATGCATTTTGTAAAAATTATGAAATCTAACTTTTTATAAGGTCGCTAGTCCCTATAGTTATATTTGGTAAAAATTTATACTCATTCTTAAAACCGTATTAAACGTTTGACTCCCATATGGTCAAAATTAACAGTGATATCCCTGAAAATTCAGGTATTCTTTGAAGGTGGGGATAAGAGAATATCCAGAATGTTCGAAAAGTACATTTTAAAACAGGGTGAATGATAAAAACAGGGTGGCCTCGTTCCGTTTGGCCGGGTTCGTGGTTGAATCCCCCACTACTTACCATCATTTAAATTTGTTGTGAAATCAGCTTATATAAAAATTCTGAAGTAATCCGTAAAGTACAAAAATGAAATTCTTTCAGAATCTCTCAAATATTAAAAACTTGAATAAATATCTAAATGCAATATTTTTACAAGTCTGCTTCTTTTTTTTATAGGCCTTGCGTGGGTGAATGGTATGTGCCGACCTAAGCATAGCTGCACGTTGAACGAAGGCTCCAGTTTCGAAGCAGCTTTCGTTATAGCTCATGAAATGGGCCACAGGTATCTATCTCACTGCTCAAATATATAATTACGTCAGGAAAATTATTTCCACGTAAATTATTTCATAAAATTAAGCAATTAAAGAACAGGAAGTGAAAAACAGTACATGATAGGTAAAATAGAACGCCGAACAAATATAAATTTAGAAGTCAAACAACAAAATTCGTTATTCTCCTATCAATCAAATTCCGAGATCCATACTTAAGCACCCCATTCCGGATATGAATTCCTGGGGTATTAACAGGATTCTTCGCCAATGTGGTTTAACCCTTTGCGGCACAGTGCGTCCGGTCTGGACACACCTAAAAAGTTTATTCTGTACACACAGAAAAATTGAATGAAAAAGGATTTATAGGTTACTATAGGTTACTCTGAATCTTCTTTATTTATAGTAGATGGCAGCTCAACACAAAACAGTCCATATATTTTAACCATGTTTAGTTTTTTAAGACCCGTATTTTCCAAAGAAATCTTCCAGATTTTTATAGGGTATAAAAGGAATTGTTTGAAAAGAAATTTCTATGTTATTTTTTTGGCTGCATACTAATCTCCTTATTCTATATTAAAATTTTTATCTTGAAATCTTGTCTAAAATCAAAAAGCGAACCCTAGGTGTGCCCAGACGGAGCTCACCGATAATCTAGGACAACTGAGAGTCTGTATTCTTTGTTTCTCCGCATCCCATCGGTCAGTTCATTGACGACAATGCTCGTTTCAGCACTCTTTTCGAACCTCTATTCAATCAGTGTGCCACTTTGGGCACACCCATAGAATTAAAACGATAAGTGCTATCTTCACAAAATTTTACTTGTGTACTCCTCTAGGCCTAATTAGACTGCCTACCTTTTTTTTTAAATCAAAACTCCGACTTTAAAAGGTAGCGTGTCGAAAAGGGTTAATTCACATTGGTCAAAATCGTAATTAAATTGCATATTACTCATTTTCAAGAAAAGCTATTTTACTTTGCTTTAAATACTGAAAGAATAAGCGGAGATTTCCCTAAAACCTTATATTAAAAAAAATTCTTATCTTTTTGTTTAGTTTAGGAATGCTACATGATGGTCATGGTAAACGATTGTGATCCGAGTGTCTATCTTATGTCGGAAAAGACTGGCCCGGGGAGGATAACGTGGTCTTCATGCAGTAATGACTACCTGGATAAGTTTTTCCGGTAAGTTCAAAAAGCTCATTCTGTAGCTGTAAATGAAAACTCAGTGGTATTCTATTTTCATTTTAACCGTGCATGCTTAAAGATTGTAGAACATAGAGAATATTAGGCATTTCAAATGTTTGCTGGAGCCTCAAGGAGTCTCACTTCACTTCTGCTTTCCACCCAAATTTTGAGGGATAGGTCCCCATGGGGGGAGGTCCATAAGTCTCCCTCCCCTACCACCAACCAAATTACACAAGAGAACATTCGGCTCACCGTATGTTTACAGTGCCCCCATTCTGCAAAGAAGCTATACATTTACAAACATCCATGCCTTCTCCCGGATTCGAAACCAGGCCCTTCGGTCCCACAATAGGCTACCCCTAACGTTGGTCCCACAGTAGGCTATCCCTAACGTTGGGCAGCTCTGTTACTTTTGTTAGATTGGTTCCAGAATCTACAAAGTAACAGAGTTGCCTGACGGAAACTGAAAACAATAATTGACTACTGACTCTTCTGACGCTGGAAGATAGTAGCCATAAAAGTCTATACAAGCTAGTTCAATATGTCAGCAACAGAGTATGTGATATGTTGGTTTAATATGCAATTTTGTATTTATGCTGTGCCAGGTTTTCATACAGAAAGTTCGTACTGTATCTGAATGCTGTAGTGTATTTGTACATGTTTATATCTTTTATTTATGGTACCTAATTTATACTTAGGATCACGCGTACCTCAATAGTATGCTTCATGTACACTTTGACTATCATGATAACGTATATATAGATATATAAATGTATATATGAATATGAGTGAGAGTTGTATACTTTTATTTGTTTCGGAATATATATGTAAGTGTGTATATATCTGTATCTGAGTTGGTATTTATATGTATATACATATATTTTGATTGCACTCTTCTTCAAGTGCCTTGTACGCACATGTATATTTCTTTGTACATTGTTGTATTCTTTTTCAAGTACCTTGTATGCACATGTTATATTTCTTTTCTGCATTTTATAAATGTCGTCTGCTCAGCCGGGCTGCGGCCTGGCAGCTAGTGTTTGACTCTCACCGAGTTGGTAACCATTCCTGCGTGGATATATCTATACCTGGGTCGGAAGCCAACTCAACGGTTTACTCCCCTAATCACTATACTGTCTAGGCGGCTAATCGTCATCTAAGTACAGGATTACAGTATCCTAGTACGTTTGTATACGTCGCTTTGAAATAAGTTCAACTTGCCATATGGCTTGTCTGCATAAGAAAATTTTTTTCGGGTGTATGGTATTTATTTGGAATACGGCTCGAGTTCGATAAGTGACGACGGCTCTTTCTGAAGTCGTTTAATTTCTTTCGTGCTGCTACGACTGTCCAATGATTGCGCGGGGCAGTGCTACAACTGCCCTGTCGCAACTATGCTGTAAATAATCCGTGCTATAACTCGGAATTTTGAAGCGATTTTGAGTTTTATCGTTCTATTTATAGCCCAAAGAACGTTACCACTGAAGGGCTATTAAATTTCGTTTTAGCATTTTGCGTCGAAAACTTTAAAAGTCTGAATCACTTTTCAGATTGTTGCCACCAAATATTATCGCCCTGCGTTATATTTAGAGAAATCAAATAATGAAGAATCTGCATGAATGTTTGTATGTTTCTGGCATTGTTATAAAATAACGGTACCTACAGCCATGTGATTTTGAATAACGTACGTCTCCACCCGAATATGGGCAGCTGGAAGCCCAAATTTGGAATTTGTTTTATTATCTATTTCATATTTTGTAAAGCATTATTTATGAGCTTTTGATTAACAAACCCAACAATTTCAAACCGAGCAATGGCAAAACTGTACGGGGGGAAAAAAAAAAATCTCCAGCTCGCGAAACTGTGTATCGGAAATTGGAAAGATGCTATCTTTTAAAATTATTTTGCGATATTGCTGTTGAACTGAATTTTATGATTTAGTGCGAACATGATATCTATATAAATAAGTATATAAAGAAGAATGTCTGTCTGTGTAAATCAAAATCGTAAAAGTAACCGTATTTAGCGTAGGTATAATGAAACACTCAATCGATTTCGAGGACAGCTAAAGGTCCCTCCTCATCAGGAGAAAGAAATACCTAGAAAGAAGAAAATAGGAGAAGGAGGTCACAGAAACACGTGGTCCTTATCAGCACTGCACGTGGTTATAACTAGATTTTTAATCAGAGTTGCACTGGCCGCCTACTTTTACTGAGCCAGGCTATCTGATAGAGCATGAAAAATTAGCAAAGTTAAAATAGGGAGCGAGGGGCAAATGCACCTTACGCTCAAAATCTGAACTTTAAATAATGGTCTGTCTGTGTGTTTGTTCGCGATTAACTCGGTCACTACTATAGCTATCGTCACCAAATTTTTTACAATTCTTCTCTGGGTCCTAAACCCAAACCTTTTCTTCGTCAGCTTCCATATTGGATAATAGCGCACTTTAGGTTCTGCCTCTTTCTATAAAGATGCTATATCCCTACGCTATCTTCCTATCGCTACAATATCAAAAATGTAAATATTCTGGAAATAGGCACGGTTAGAGTGCCAAGTGAATTGCGGCCACAAATGTCAATTTAAATAAAAATGGAATTTAATCCCCAAAAAGATGCTGCAGGAAAACAGGTGGTTGTCACTCAATAGCTGATCTCCTCTTGACAAAGTAAAAGTCAAAAAATGATAATACCGCTTTTCCATGTGTATTTTTATTTCCATTTCATTAGTTCTTTAATTAAAGGTTTGTTTTATCATTTTTTTCAATGGCAGTCCCATTTTGACTGCTATAATTTTAACAAATGCAAAGTTATTTTTATAATTTTAGCATCACAATATCATTACTTTATATTTTTGGCTCAATTTCTTTTGCCTTTATAGTTATTAAGTGTCTTTACTTTACATTAGCAATTAATTAAATCTTTGCAGCAATTTGCGCAGGATGAATTTTTAAGGTCCACCTCAAATTTGACCTGCGTATTTAATTTATTTAATTTCAAAATATTCAATTTTTAAATGGCATTTTTAACTTGCCTCCTCGACTCAAATTATTGCAAAAAGCCACGTTTTGTAAAAGTCGCCCAATCAGTTTTTTAAAAAATTTAGATTTATCCTCTCCGTGTTAATTGAATTTAAGAAGAAGAAGCTATTTAAAAAGCTGAGATGGTCCTCTTTATCTTCTTGAGAAAATTCTCTGTGGGTGATTTACCAAGAGAAAGTAGTACGCTCTTTCGCAAAAAAATCGAAGCTGCAAAAAAGGGCTTTTGCGATCGTGACGAAATTTGGTATGCAAAAACATCTTGATCGAACATGCAAGTGATCAAAGTTTCAAGGCAAATGAACAGAAATTGCGATGATAGCACGCATTTCTTGTGCACAATTCACAAAGTATAAAACCAGGAACAGAGGCGGAAAATGTATCTTTTTTTTTGTTGCCGCCATTATAATTCCGTAAAGAAGCAACTGAAGATGCCATTACGACGATATCGAAGACCTTACAGACACAACTAAACGACTTCGAACGTGGTCGCATTGTAGGTTTGCGTGAAGCTGGGTGGT